CAAGCAGACTCGGAGGACTGCTTTCTATGTTAAATAAGTAGCAGAGCTATATTACGAATTGCAAATATGAAATGCGTGTTTATGATAAACATATACTGGCACTCTTGCCTCTGCTTCAGACTCCCAGAATATGGGTTGACTCTCCTCTCCCACTGGGCTGAGTAGAAGGTTTACAGCACTGGTCAGAATATCATGTAATTCTATATGATACAGTTTACACATCTTCATCTTAAATTTCTGCTTCTCTCCCCAACCCCCTTTTTTCTTTCAAACATGGTAGAATCCTATTTTCTGGAACAACGTACACAAAGGTTTACAGAAAGACAAGTAATGTTTACAACCATAACCCTCGACTCATTGCCTGTTTTTTCTTTCTTGATCCACAAGGCAACGCACAGACACCACTTCACCCACCCTGCCTTCCCACGACCTGTTTTTTTCTGTTACCAAGGACATGTGTGAATAAAACAAATGTACCTGTGAGGAAAATTATTTGAAGCTTATAATTTATTTTTACTTGCAGGGCTGTGACATTTTGCTATTGTTCTCTAATCATGCAAAAATTACATAGGCCTTGATAAAAGAAACACTTGGAACAATTAAACCCAGATCTTTAACTTCTATAATTTCACATCTCTTAGCTTCTCAATTTCTAGTTTTTTTCCTTCACATATCAGTACTCCACTATAATGGAATGAACAATCATGTTTTCAGGGAAGAAGGAAAAACACATACTTTCCCCTTTTTTCTAATAGGACTCAGCACTTTTAATACTCCTGTCAAGAAAAGTCATTCACCCAGACATAATCCAAAAATAATATCATCATCTTATCTAGAAGTTGGTCCCCTCAATAGTAATACCTTTAACTGTCCCATTCCTTTTTGTTTAGTTTTTTTTTGTTTTATGGCCCATTCTGCCATTGTACAAACTACAAATGCTTGCTCAGCAGCTGAGAGGCACTCTTGTCCCATTCCTTAAAAAAAAAAAAAAACTAACAAATTTTTCCTGGTTGTTTTTTATCTGATAGCTGAAGATAAGTCACGACTTTTGGGAAAATGAAATGGTGTAAGAGAGTTGTTTTCAACCAGAAATTGTACACTTGAAAACATTAGTAATTTTGTGAGGTGTTTTCCAATAAGTGCTTGTTTTGGTTTTATTTGATGAGCCAGTCTTCTAAAGTAGGACTCCTTTGTACTCTCGACAGGTAAACGTTTTCTTTTCTAACTGCTCATGCCTATACATCTTCCTTTGTCAGAAGGAAATGTAACACCAATCAAACAGCTTGCTACTCTTTACTATTTTAATCCAAGCATAAATAACCCATACTCTGAGCTGGCATGATTTGTGGGGCTTGGTCACATGTCTACTTTACTTTTCTTCTCCACCACCCCATAAAACATGATTCATCTTCCCTGCCCTCAAATGAACACCAGAGCAGATCTATAACTCTTTCACTCATACAACCACCAAAAAAGACTCCAAAAAATGAAAATGTCTAGTGTTTGGACACAAAAGGAACTCTGGCCAGGTGATAGTATGAAATCTGTCCTATTTCAGCAAGGTTTTGCTATTCTTGCCTCCTGCTGGGGTTGAGGAAGGTAGACATCTTTTCTCTTTCTTCATCATCTGCCCAACATTTCTCACCACTCCACAATCAAAGCAGGAAGACAGGATTGCATTAGCTATCATTCCATTCTTTCCACAGGTGTGCCAGTGAGATCCATCTTCCTTTAGCTGGCTACTCATTCCTTCTTCTGCCTCTAGATTTCTGGAAATTATCTCCTGGGCTTCCCCTTACCCATGAGCTGCCCCTCCCTTCAACATGGTCCCATCTGGGCCCCAGGAAATCTCTAGGCATTCTCTGCCCCAGCAAACTTGTGGAACATAAGTGATCTTGCAGCCCAGACCACTGTGTGAGCCCCAAATGCAGGAAGCAAATATACAACTCAATTCATGGTCCCTCAAAACCCCAATCACTAGGTTTCAGATGAAGGAAGTGAACACATCTCTTCAACAAAGTCTCTTCTCTCAACCCTCTTTTTCTTTCTCTTTCTTTCTCTCTTCTTTCTTCCCTCCCTTCCCTCCATCCTTCCCAGTGCTGGGGATGGAACCTAGGGCAACACATATGCTAGGCAAGCACGCTACCATTGAACTACAACCCAACCCTCAAATTCTTAAAGTTTGGTTCTCAAGTTACCAAAATATTCTCAACTATCCATAGCTACCTTGATATTTCTACTTGGAGGTTTAGCACATTCCTTTGGAAATTCACAAAACTTGAAAGTGTGCCTTGATCAAAAGTTTAGTTTAGTACTCTTATTTCGTTCACATGTGCACACAAATGTGTAAGATAGACTGCTAATTTCCAATTATTTTTACTCATATTTCTCGGGGGAGTATGAAACAGGTTCTCACTATATAGCCAAGACTGGTCTCAAACTTGGGATCTTCCTCCTCCTGAGTGCTGAGATTACAGGCATGTACCATCATGCCAGCTTTTATTTCTAATAGAATTGAATTTGAGTGTAGAGAACCCCTTCTCTACACTGTCCTGAAGGCTGCTCCTAACGCTACTGTTGGAAACAAATGCAGTTTCTGCCTCTCAGATGTCTCAGGACTGGCTTCAGACCCTGGCCACAGTTCTCTGCCAGGTTAATGCTTCCCATCCTTTGTTATCCAGGCACCTCCCCTCTGAGACCCTAAAGTTGGTCTCTGACCATTATGAAGGTGCTGCCCAGAATAGTAGAGTGGACCCTGGGCTCCTTTGATCCAAATACCACAGGGAAGAAGTAGATGGCAGTCATTACGGATCCAGGTTCTAATCTTGGCTCTACTATTTACTGCCATTGACCATGAGCAACTTATTTCATCCCTTTGTGCCTCGTTTTCTTCATTTGTTAAAAGGAATGGTGCTAATTATATTCCCTACCTCATGGGTTTGTTACAAGGGTTGAGTTAAAGTTGTGAACACTCCAACAAGCTCCATGTCAGTGTCTATAAGAAAAGCATGTCCTTGTCAATGAAATCCAAGTTTGCTCCATAGCAGCTGCTTCATTCAGGGCCTGTGGTCCGTCAACACCCCAGGTATTTTCTTTCACGTGACCTGCACCTCAGTGGGATGCTCTATCCTTTTCTTTTAAAATTGACTCTGAACCTCAATGAGTAACCAGACCTTTGATCCTCCTGGGAGCTCAGCATTCTAGGATTATTTCTTGTCCAGATATAATATAGGTCTTATAAATTATTCTCGTAGATTTACAGGTACTGTAACTCTGATTCATGTCATCTTTATGTCTTTTTCCTGATGACTGACGCCATAAAGGAAAAGGGACAAAACCTTACTGTGTTCACTCTTTCCTCTCCATATCCTCAGATACAGCAGCAGACTGCCCCAAACGCCTCTAACAAAGGCTGGGCATGCTTTAGACTGCCCACCATGGGATGGCTAATGACTAGTCTGTAGGTCCTCTGTTTGTAAAATGGAAATAACGGTCACCTCACTGTGAGAACTTAAGGCACTTAGAAAGCACCTGGCCAAGTTTCTGTCACTCTGAAGACATTAAAAAAAGACAAAAATAAAAAATCTAGTGGTAAATTCTGATTGGTGAAATACCTCAGCCTTTAGGAGTCAACAGAAATCAGGAGAAGGAATGCTACACTTTCCAGAATGTTTGGATGATGACATTTTCTTCACCCTATAGAAGATGAGCCCTACTGTGAGCACAGTGGGATTAGCCTGGAAGGCTAAGCCGGGGCACCTAGGGCTAGGTATGCAAAGGCAACAGGATAGATGAGACACACACATGAACACAGTTCACAAAACAAATACCCTCACTCATGCAATTCACTCTGATGTTTTCTCTTCTCTTCTACTGAGTTTTTTTTTTTATGCTGGTTGCAACCCCTAAACTGATACCATTATCCTAGTGAGTCATAACTCACATTTGAAAATTAGTAAATATGGCATGTCCCCATTGATAACCCAGTACATTGCTAGAAAAGGGAAAGAAGTTAGAAGCTAGTTTGCCCTAAGTTGTCTTTGGAAATGCTCTCCTGGGTAATCTTGAGCATTTTTTCTTTTTGGCAGTACTGGGGTTTGAACTCAGGGCTTTGTGCTTGCTAGGCAGGCACTCTACAGTTTGAGACATGTCTCCAACCCTTGAGCCATCTCTTTAAACAATTTGTTCTGGAATGTTACCAGGATTCAATGAGTCCCTCATTTGAAAAGTCTCCTGGCTCGTTCTTGTCTTTCACACCTGTGCAATGGTGACTATGAATACTCTCGATGTTCTAGGGTGCCTGTCACTTGAGCTGTCAGTCATCTAGCCCAGTTTCAGGCATTAGCAACTCTGCCTATCCCTATCACCTGTTAATGTCACCTCATCTTCCATCAAAACTGGATAGACTCATTAGAACAAACCTTGTGAGTTCATCCATTTTATAGTGTTCTCTCACTTTCCCCACCTTACACCTTGGGCCACACTGGGTCATGTGATCAGGGTGATATGATATGCTCTCAATTGATTTATCTAAAGGACACTGGACTCACAGTCCCAGTTTCCAGACCCTTATTCCCCACTGTTAACTGGTGGAGTCAGATTGGAAATCTATTTACTATCTCAACCTAATTTTCTTCACTTGTACCTGGAAATGCTGCTTCTTACTTTGGGGGGGGGTTCATAAGAATTTATTTATGTATGGGAGTTCCTCTCTCTTCCTTAAAGTAGCATGGATACTTTCCATCTAGCTCTTTTTGTTTTCAAAACACCCTGTTTCATTGTAGTCAGATTAAATCGAATATCTCTGGGATTCCATGTCATCTAAAATGCCGCGGAAACCACAAAGCGTCAAAACGGGTCTGTAGAGAAGCAGCTCTTAGAAGGCCTTCCTCAATTCATTACACAGAAAGGATGGGAAGGAGAGGCAGGATGAAGCCGCAATTTCCCTCTCATCAACAAAATGACGTGCTGGCAAGCTCCCCTGTCTGAGCAAAACGAACTGTCAGGTCAGGGTTTATTGTCAGAACCGTGCCTACAGCAGGGGACACGCGCCTGGGACCAAGAGACAACGCATTTGGCTTGGAGGGTCAAGGTCCCCCCAATGGCAAGGCACCTCTGGCAGACCGGCCGGGCGGCTGGGAAAGTTTTCTCACCTGCGCTGTGACCTGGCCGCGGGGGCCGAGCCGCGAAGCCCACCTGAGCCCAGAGCGCCGCTGCCTCGAGCTTTTGCCGACGCCCTCCAGCGGGACACACGCACATCCGCGGGCTGCGGAGATGGTTTTCAACTTGGGTGCTCTCCAAGGGGTCCCTACTCTTCCCAAGGGCACCCTCAAAATGCAGCGCCTCCTCACCAATCCCATTCTTCACTTCTCACCCCCGTGGGTGCCAAACTAAAAACCACCCCCAAACCCAAGGGAGCCCTGCTGCCTTGGCCAGAACCGCACGCGTCCCGCGTCCCGCGTCCCGCGCCCCGCGCCCCGCGCCCTGCGCCCCGGCTTTGCTCGGCCGCGTCCCGCCCCGGGTTGGATTACCGGTGTCGCGCCCTGGCCGCGGGCTCGGCGGGATCACAGCTCCTCCAACGTGCGTGAGCTCAGGAGCTGCCGCCTTCGCCGCCTGGGCTGGGCGATCGCTCCCGGCGCCGCGGTGCGGCGGAGACGCGCGCTCCCGACCTGCAGCGGAGGCGGCGCTGGGTACAGGGGCTGAGCGCCGAGAGCCTCCAGCCCCAGCGCGCCCAGGAGGCGAGGATTGCAGAAGCTTCGCCAGCGCACGCTGCTCCTCCGCTTTTGGATCAGAACCTGCCACCAGCACAGAAAAAGAACATCTCAGGAAATTCTTTGCCCTCCCCAGCTCCGTAGTGGGTCCCTTAGGCCAACTTTGAGAAACAGAAGCTCCTGAGACTGGGGCAGCATGAATTGAGGTTTATGAATTATCCTCAGCATTGGGTTCAAGTTCAGTAAGGCCAGGGCCCTCCGTAACGTGCTGTTTAAATTATTACCTCCATTTTAGTGCCTCCTCCTGCTCACAGGTGCACGTACCAATGGGCAATCAAATGTCCTCCAGACAGGGCCCCAAAGGAGCAGGACTGGGACAGGAGTAGTTTCAATTTAGTATCTTGGCTCACTCCTCCCGGCAAATGTTCCTGGAGTTCATGTTCCCTGCCAGACACTAATCCGGGTGCCGAAAATATAGCCTCTTAGAGTTTATATTCTCATGAAGAGACAGGTAGGACACACTGCAAATAAACAAATGAGGAGTACATAAAAAGTGATAGTGCTGTGGACAACAAAATAACATGGGAAATAGAATTTTTAAAAGGGTGGTCAGAGATGAGCTCACAAAGGAGGTAAGGGAGCAAGCCAGGCTGATATCTGGGCAGCAAACTCTTTCTGTGTGCCAGGCACTGGGATGTCCTTTAAAATATGGTCACAGGTGTCATATCAGGCAGGTTGTATTGCCATTCCCATTTTACAGATGAGGAAGCTGTTCCTTATGGAGGCTAACTGAATTGTCTGGGGTCACATTAGTAAATGGGAGAGTTAATCTCAAGCACAGGAAGTCTCAGCCCCAGAACCCTACATTAACTACAACCATACCACAGTGGGGGAAATGCAGCCCCCGCAGGCAGGAAGTTAATGTGGTGATGCCAGAAAAGAATCCCTGGAAATCACAACTGATTCACTGATTTTTTTTAAAGTAGTTTCATTATCACATGTAAAATGAAATATTTTGAAAACTGTCTTTATAGCATATGTGCATGTTCCTCTGCCTCATTCACAGGTAGTTTAATTCTGAATGGCATAATTTGACCATCTGTGATGAACGTTGTTAGTGGTTCCCAAGACTCCACACTGATTCATTCTAGTTGCACCATCCTGTTTGTGGGGATGAGATCCATCATCCGTGCAGTGGAGTCTGTACTGCACATCAGGGCAGGATGAGACTGTGCAGAAAGCAGACCACAGAGCTGCCACTGCTGAAAAGCAATAGCACCAACAGGCCAGTCTCCACCTTAGCTGTCAGCTTCATGAGATGGATGGGAGGTGAGAAAAAGGATTCACTAAGAAGGTAGAAGGTATGTATCTGTATATATAGCCGTATGAAGAAATGCCCATAGAAGACAAAAAGAACAAAAATATGGAGGCATGGAAAAATCCAATGTTGTTTGGAGGATGGCTATGATGATGGGAGGGAGAGTGCAGTTCAGTAGAGCAGCGTGGAGAGCACACAAGAAGGGCAACCAAGGCCAAATCACCAGGAGTCCATGGAGTAGCTTCATAGAGTCTATACCTGCTGAAGATGCAGGAAAAGGCCTTCATATCTGTCCATGTTAGCCTCTCAGAGGAGAGGTTCCTTGACCTTAGTCAAATTCTCAAAGGGTCTAACTGGCCCAGGGCAGGGGGGGTGGCACAAGGTGAGGAAGTCAGTTTCGCTTCCTACAACCTGCTCTGGGACCACAGTAACCTGAAGGAATTAGGACATCAGCCAAGATATATTGAACACCTGAATCTGAGATTGATGCGAGGCTTCTCCTGACAGACTGCCTCCAAACATGCAGTGGTACCTCCATTCCTGCGCAGGAATGGCTGCACCCAGCCCTCTGGGCACTTCTCCCATATTCACTGTAAGGATGGAGGGGTGCTAGATGGCTGGCAGGCAAAGAGGCAGGGAACTAGCAGCTGAGAACATGTCCTGGGGAGGCAGCAGACAGCAGGACAGCAACCAGGAAGATCTCCGAGCATTTAATGCCTTCCATTGCTCCATTTCACTTACCACTAAGTTGTGTACCCCAACGTCATGTATCCTGACCCCAGTTGGAAATGGAACCATAAAGGTGATTAAGGTAAAACCTTAAAGGTGATTAGAGTTAAATAAATCCTCTCACTAGCTTCATGAGAGCAACAACTGTTCTGTATCAATCCAGCTCTAATCCAATCTGACTGGAGATTAATATACAGAGGAATACCAGGGGTGTGTGAGCACAGAAGGATGGCCTTGTACAAGTTAAGGAGAAAGATCTAGAACAGAACCTTCCTTCACTGTCCTCAGAGGAAACCAACCCTGCTGGCACCTTGACCTTGACCTTCCATTCTCCAGAACAGAAAGAAGATGAAACTCTATCATTTAATCCACTCAGCCTATGGTATTTTGTTGTGGCAGCCCAAGCTGAAGAACACTAATTCAAAATTCAAATATAAAGTTTCAATGAATTTGAAGATGGTGACTACAGAGCATTAAATTCCAAGGGAGGGGCCCCTTTAAGCAGGAAGTCCTATACTACTGCACTGGTCAGATGGCCATGAAGCCAGGCGTTAGGAATTTGGGGATAGAGACCTGAATATAACCTGGGATGCACCAGTGGAGAGGTAGAAAGTGAAAAGAGGGCTGATGTCAGAAAAAACAAATAGGGAAATAGGAGGTGAACAAGAGAAGGTGGAATCCAATGGAGAAATGGGTGACGATGTCCAAGGGCCAAGGCCACGTGATTAAGAGTCAAAGCTAAGGGACCTTATCCATAGACGTCATATGGTGAGAACAGGGGCCAAACTGATACTGGTAAGGAAGAGGTGCTCCTCCAAGAAGGCTGGAGGGAAGACCTTCTGACAAAGGTACTACATGGCCACGCCTAGTGCACAGCTGTAGCTAGAACTTCTCTCATTTGTTTGTTTATCTGAATCCTCTCACTAGCTTCACGAGAACAGCAACTGTGCTGTCTCAATCCAGCAACAGGAGCAGCACCTGGCACACAGCAGGCCAGAAAATGTGGAGAATAAACAGGATGCAGAGGCAAGGGAAGAAGATTGTGTTGGTTTTATTCAGTTTATTCACTAATTTCAGATGAGAGACAAACATGCTTACAGATTGAGAGCGAGTACCTAAAAGGAACAAAAAAGAGTTGAGAGAGAAAATATATTATGAAATAGGATACTAGACAAAAGAATAAGAAAATAAATCAAGAGAAGGCTGGAGAGGGAAAAAAAACCCATTCAGCGGTGCGTATTTTGTATTGTCTAAGGCCCTTCTGGGAATGGGAAACTTCTTGCGGTGGGGGTTAGATACAAAAGAAAGCACAAGATATATTCGGCTCTGTTTGTTCAAAATGACACCATATAGTTAAGAAGTTTTTGTGGGAAAAATATGTAGCAATGAAACATAGCAAGGATGTTCCCAAGCATCTGAGTAATACAGAAAGATTGGAAACAGAATGAACTGGGAGAAAACCTGGAGGCATGACTGCAGAGGTGAAGAAAGCACAAGGATAAGAAAGTAGAGAGAAAATAGAGGAACATGGGCTCTGCTCTGGCCTGCTGGCAGTGGGCCAGCTTGCTGCTCTGAGGATCTGAAAAGCAAGGGTTTAGTGCTGGCTCAAGATCTGGGATTGTAGTTATTTTCCAATTGATTAGGACCTATGCCAGAGGGCCCAGCAGGAAGCAGTAAAATGAGACCTGTCTCAGACAAGAGTACATCCCTAATACATAATATGTCTGGGCATGGAAAACCTGGCTGTGTTCCAGTGAGTTCAAGAACAAAAGAAGGAAAATGACCAGAGAGAAAAACTGGGTGTTCAGATGCTAAAATAATGATGTGATACGGTTACCTCTCAAGTTGTTTTCTTTAGAGGATGGGATTATCTATCATCTATCCAAACCACAAGTAGAAACACACACACAAGTATTCCACTACCGAAAGACATTCAAGAGAAAAGTGCAACTCCCTCAAGGTCACACTTTCCTCCTTCTGCTCAATGAAGTTTCAGAAGTGAAACTTCAGGGTGAGTGTTCAGAAACCCAAGGCCTCCAAGGTGTGAGAAGCTCAGCTTGCAGCTGGCCAGGAACCAGGTGCCAATCATGAATCTGCCCCGTCTCAATTGCAAAGGTCACTCCCTACCCATTTTTCCTAGGTAATTTGAAGGTTTTCTCTTATTATAATCTTTTTCTTTCTTACTCTTTGGCCTAAATTGGATTTAATTTGCTTTGTCTTGATTTTATACTATTTCTTTTTTCAAATTAGCACAATTATTCCTGAATAGATATACAATGCTTTCACTAGCTAGCAGTCCTTTTTATTCCATAAATCACACACCAGGGCAGGCAAACCCCTTCTTGAGCACAGGGCCCCTCCTCATAACATCCATCCCATTCCTCCCCTTCCCATGGTTAAGCATGTACTCAGAGCTTCCCTCTTCTTTTTACTCTTATTGTTCCTCCGATAGAACTGTACAGATACCACCCACGGGTTGTGGCACCAGGCAGACAAAACATCTAATGTGTTTTAATTTGTGCTTGGCATTCAGTCAGGAAGATGAAGCTTTGAGCCACTCTGAAACATCAACTAGATTTGACGGGGTTGGGAGGGTGGTGGAGAAACTATAGCCTCAAGGGCTTGTGTGTAGCCCTGGGCTCTAACACGTGTGTCTTTTTGTACCTTTCCTCCTCTCAAAATTTAATTGTTGCATTTCTGGAGAGAATTTCTGGTAGCTCTCATGTGTTTACTATCATAGAATAATGAAATGAAGAAGCTTCTATTTGTTGGCTCCAGACTCATCCAGTCTGTGACAGCAAATGGAAGAGGGTACCCAGTCGGCTTGCTCTGGGTACTTGCTTATTATTTCCTAACTTGGATCACAGCCAATGTAAGGCATGCCACAGTTATTCCAGAATGGGAAAATATATTGAGTCCACCTCTGACATTGGTGGTTACTGCTATGTGGGTGTTGTGTCACATGTATTTATGCTTCTTCTTTTTTCTGCATGCTGCATTCTTTGCTTGGCCTTGTCTTCCAGTAGGAGGCACTGTT